CCTGCTGGCCTCATGTATTGTTGCAAAAGAAAAATATGTTTGTCCTTTGGAAAGATAAATGTGATATACAAATGTGAGCTGGATTTGCTATGATCATTTCTACACATGTTCTGGGACTCACTCCTCTTCCCACACTTCTCCCCTTCTCCTATGGAATTCTGATGCACTTATCCCTTGGAACGGAAGTGACATTCTTTGTTGCTTCTACTCTGTATCATCTTAATGAAGAAAAATTTAAGAAAACAAAACTTGAATGCATTCATGTTAATCATATGACTAATCAGAAGGTTTTAGAAGACATTCTTGGATCAACTTACCATAAATTCCAAACTTTACAAATTTATATTTACCCCTTATAATATGAATTAATTCTCCTTCCTTTTCTGCTCACTATAATAACAAAGATACCAGAGCCATATGTAACACTTGCACAGAAAACAATAACTGAGAAATATGTAGAAAAATATCACTGTACTATATATTGTATTCTATCTATATAAGGTACAAATTAATATACAGTGCCTTGTGTTCCAGAAAATGAACTCTGCAAATCGTAACTATAGTTACATCCCAAATTAATTAGCTCTGCATAGTGAGACCAAGAAATGCTGGTCCTGAGAGCCTGATTAAAGCTTGAAGATGCTTCCTTCATTAACCTTTCAGAGTTTCCCCTCAGTGAAGCTTCTGTCAGAGAAGCAAATAAGTGGCAAACCCATCGGATTTAAGTCTGTCTCCCCCTGCAGACACATATCTGGAATTCTGGGAAAGGGGCTAACAAGCATGACATATAAACAGACTGAAGAAAAACAGTCATTTTTACATTACTATATATTTTATATATATATACATATAAACAGTATATATTTATATATACTTATATACAAACAGTTTATATATAAACAGTCATTATTATATTATTATATTATAGTAAGTCATTATTATAATTAAAAAATTCATCATTGTGACCAAAATACAGTAATAATTTCCCAAATAAATAAGGGATGACTGTCCTAAAATAATACCATGCCACACTTGATTCCAGGTAAAGATCACCCATTCTGCTCTTTACTGTAATTTTGTACCAAATTTGCAAAAGCGCAGTATTATTTCATAAACAGTCCCAACTTCATGTAGCAAATCCTTCTGAATAACAATCTACAACAAACTGTGGGTTTTGGAAGGGAGAGGGTGGGGGGGATGGGTGAGCCTGGTGGTGGGTATTAAGGAGGGCCTGAATTGCATGGAGCACTGGATGTGGTGCATAAACAATGAATCTTGGAACACTGAAAAAAAATTTAAAAAAACAAACAAAACAAAAAAAACAAATACCTTTGGAAACAAGCCACCAAATAACAATCTGCTAGAACAGTGAGTGGCCCCTTTGTCCTGTGAATAATGAACCCCTGGTTCACCAGTAGTCTAATTTCAGTTATACAGATCATAAACAAGACATACCTAAAATAAGACAATAACTAAACCCTGTATGTTACCCTAGTCTATTTTGCCAAAAGTAAAAGTCGATATTACCACATTGAAAAGTAAGTCCTACCTTTGCATCCTTCAGGAGTGAGGTTTCAGACCTGACACGCTTTTTGATATTTGGCAGTGGTTGTAGCAAAATATCCGGAGAATGACAAAAGTCCCTCATCTCAGAAGCGGGATAACAGCACCTTTGCTTCTAGAGCGCTGTACTTTCAAAGCACTGGTCCGCCTGGTATCTCTCTTAGTCTCACCACAGGCCTGTGAGGTAGACTTACATCCCGTCAGGGGTCACTCTGCCCACGGCAGAGATGCAGCATCTGAGGCCTACAGTGTGTAAGTGACTGGTTTCAAGTCATGAGAGTAAGTAGGGGCTGGTCCTACAGTGCTGTGGGGTCTCTGGATTCCTCCCACCTACACCACCTTACATCGACTCTGTCTTCCTATAATGGTTAAAGTTTAACCCTATCTGGAGGAATGATTTCCTGGGTTCTGCAGCATTCAGTGACCAGCTTTGACTACTTCTTAGGACTGAAAACTCATTTACCTTCAATAAAATCAGAACCAGAGTCCTGGGGCTTGCAAAAATGATGAGGCTCCATGGTGGGGCCGCAGTCCACTGTAGGGTTCTAGAACTGCAGGGACCCTTCTAGGATATGGGAGTTGAGAAATCACCTCAGCCCCATTGTGGGACCCTTCCCCAAGGCTACGCTTGCCTGAGGGGTAGAAAACCCAGCATCCAGCTGAGCAAGGACTGAATCTATCTGGGCCTCACCTTACTTATCTATAAAATGAAAGCCTGCTTTAAATAATCTCAAAGGCTCTTCCATCTCCAAAATTCTACTCTACCCCTAGGCTGAATATCTATCACTTTGACTAAACAATCACCCCAAGAACTCTCAATGCTGGGACACCTCTCTCATAACCTTTTCCAAGATGTCCCACATTAATTTCACCCTCATCATCCACTCACACCACCTGCTCTCACTCTCGCCCTGCCTCTCTGCTCACAGGTCTCCAGGACTGGTAAGTTGTTATCATGTGTCTTGTAAGTCATTGGTTTATGATTTCCACACATAATTAAATAAATTAATAATTAAATCTTTCAGCAACTATTATTTGTGTGTATTTTTTCACCAAATCCCCACCCAAGTAGCTAGTCACATGGTCATGAAATTTTAAATAAAATTACTCTCAAGGTCACTCTTTTTTTCTTTTTTAAAGATTTTATTCATTCATTTGAGAGACAAACAAAGACAGTGCACAAGCATGGAGAGGGGTAGAGGGAGAGGGAGAGGCAGACTCCCCAGCAGGTTGGGAGCCCAACATGGGGCTTGATCACAGGACCTGGAGATCATGACCTGAGCTGAAGGCAGATGCCCAACCGCCTGAGCCACCCAGCCATCCGGTCACTCTTTTTTTTTTAAAAGATTTTATTTATTTATTTGACAGACAGAGATCACAAGTAGGCAGAGAGGCAGGCAGAGAGAGAGGAGGAAGCAGGCTCCCTGCTGAGCAGAGGCCCGACGTAGGGCTCGATCCCAGGACCCTGGGATCACGACCCAAGCCGAAGGCAGAGGCTTTAACCCACTGAGCCACCCAGGCGCCCCCTGGTCACTCTTCTTAAAGAAACTTTCTCTCATGGTTCTTCATATTTCTACTAATGTCCAAATAAGTATCAGCAATCTACTGATTTCCAAAATAGGCATGTCAATATTGATTTTGCCTTCTTTGACAAGTTTGATTTTCCTCTTTATTTCCATCTTTTTTTTTAAGATTTATTTATTTGATAGAGAGAGAGCATGAGAGCACAAAGCAGGGAGAGCAGAGGGCAGAGGGAGAAGCAGGCTCCCCGCTGAGCAAGGAGCCTCATGCAGGACTTGATCCCAGGATCCTGGGATCATGACCTGAGCCCTAGGTAGAGGTTTAACGGACTGAGCCACCCAGGCACCCCTATTTCTACCTTTTCATTTTGGTCTGTTCCGTCTTCCTTTCCTTTTTTAATTCCCAGGTTCATCTTGGCTCCTGCTATCACGTTCAGTGAGCCCGCCCTAGCAGGACAACACAGGGCACCAGTGCGGAAACAGGTAACGTGCAGATACAGGACAGTGACGAGAAAGTGCTCAGCATCTCTGCCAGCACGTGAACGGAGGAGCTGTCGGCTTGATGCCACTGCATTCCCACTGTAAAGCCCTACTTCTGCACAGAAAGAGACGCGGAAGTGTATATCCAGAAGGAAGAATGCTAAAGCAATGAGGGAGCCAAGCAGCTGGGGACTATTAACTTAAATCAAAGTCCAGCCAGGAGTTGGTTTTTTTTGGTTTTGTTTTAAACAACAGGAAGTAGATTCATTCTCTTTTACATTCTGTCTCTCTCTCTCTCTCACACACACACACTCACACACACACACACACACACTCATTCTTTTCTCCTCCATCCTTCTTCTTTTCCTCTTGCCAAGGCACAGGAACAAGGCGGACGGAACAAGCCCAGTTCCTTCGAGCTGTCTCTGGAAACTGCTGTTGTTCACTGGCAGCCCAAACCCAGAATGCAGAGCACAAGACACGTGTTCGGAGAGAGACTCGCGCGGTGTGCAGCAGCCCCAGAGACTGAGGACTGTGTTTCAGTTTCCTCCGGCTGCCGTAATAGATATCCACAAACGTGGTGGCCTAAAACAACACAAATCTCTCCTCTCACAGTTTGAGGGGCCAGAAGTCTAAAATTGACTCCAGTCAGCTGAAATCAAGATGTTGGCAGGGCTGTGCTCCCTCCCGAGGCTCTGACCAGAAAATCCATTTCCTTGCCTTTTTCAGCTTCTAGTGACCACCCGTACTCCTTGGCCCATGGCCCCTTCCCCACGGTCAGAGCGCATCACTCCAGTCTGCTCCTACCTGCCCTCCACCTTCTCCTCTCAGTCATTTAACATCCCTCTCTCTCCCTCTTATGAGCACACTCCCATGGAGCTTAGAGCCCAACCAGATAGCCCAGGACAATCTCTCCATCTCAAGGTCTTCAATTTAATCCCATCAGCAAAACACCTTTTGCCATCGAAGGTAACATGCAAGTTCCAGAGATCCAGACATACATCTCTCTGGGGGCCACTTCCCAGGCTACCACAGGGCACCTCTGTCTGCCTGGTTTCCTGGAGAAAGTCTTCATCTCACTTATCCGCTAAGTTATGGATATGAGATGAGAAAAGAGGGCAAAAATGTTTTCCAAATATCAAAACAGAGAAATGTTGTGTATTTTTGCTCCTGTCCTGTCACAGAGTTACCTTGCCCATTGTTCCGCATATTAAACCATCCGGTTTGTATTCAGAGAACCCCATGAGCATCCTGTTGCTTTCTGTGCCTGGGCACAGCTCCTGTTCCATTACCATCAGGGTTACAAGAAATCATCCTCTGTTACACAGAAACTGCATTTCCAACCAAAACTGGACCTCAGAACTACACATATCCACATGCCTGTTACCACATCCCATATCAGGCATGGAGAAGGAAAAGAGCTTTGCTAGAACTCACCAAACCTCTTGTAACCGAAGGACTGCACCTCCTCCTCTTCTGCAAAGTCGTCTGTGGAGAAGAAAAGACACAGGGTTAACCCCGGGAAGGGCCAGAAGCATGCGGTGGGTGAGGGATCCCACGGCTGTGATCTCCATCCTCTCTACCTTCCCCTCGCCTCACACTTGTCCTTCTGCTCCTGGAGCATGCCACGCTTTCTGAGAAAGACCACAGGGTCCCCCGCACTGGCTGTTCCCTCTGGCTGGAATGCTCTTCCTCCTGTTTTGAGGAGACTCCTTCTAATTCAAGTCTCGGCTGAAGTGTGACATCTCTGGGATGCCTTTCTGGACCACAACCTGGCCATCCCTGTCATACCACCTTATTTTCTTTTCTTTTCTTTTTTTTTTTTTTAAGATTTTATTTATTTATTTGACAGAGAGAGATCACAAGTAGACAGAGAGGCAGGCAGAGAGAGAGAGAGAGAGAGGGAAGCAGGCTCCCTGCTGAGCAGAGAGCCCGATGCAGAACTCGATCCCAGGACCCTGAGATCATGACCTGAGCCGAAGGCAGCGGCTTAACCCACTGAGCCACCCAGGCGCCCCATACCACCTTATTTTAATATTATTCTCTGATACCATCCTTGAGTGTGTATGTTTGTGTGTGTGTGTGTGGTATTATCATGCATTCTGTTTGCACACACCTTTTTTTTTTTTGTTTCATGAACAAATCCCCCATGCCTGCCACAAAGCAGGGGCAAAATAAACTTTGTTGAACGATGACTGGATAAGCAGCTGTCCAGAGGGTTACATTATCGTCACAGAACTGAGTGAGCCTAAAGCCCTCCCTCTCAGATGCCAGGCTCCAGGGTCACGTCTAAATGTGGCATCTCAGGAGCCCAGCATGGCTTCTGCAGTGACAACGGAATCTTTCCCCACTTCCTTGCCATTGGATGACTGGGACCTACAGATGGCTTCCCAGTAAATACATTTCAAAACACAACCTTGTTCTGGGAATTCCTAAATGAAGGCCCCTCTGGAAACAAAAGAAATAGGTCAGCAAAGCTTTCTACCAAAAGGTCGGAATCCACCACCCCCTCCACCCCCCACCAAGACAAAGGCAATGTGATTCCTTATCACAATGATAAGGAACCGATTTTACAGTTCTGCCAAGGGTGGGTCTGGTGATTTCTCGGGCAACTTCTGACGACAGGTAAAGGTGTCAAGGCAAGGACTTTCCAGGGAGCCCAAATCAACTTCTCTTGAGCCGGTCACCATGACGCGCCAGCACTCAGCTCTGCCCCTGCAAGCGGTTCAGTTCAAAAGCACTTATTTGGACCAGAGACCACCAAGCAGAGGGGCTTCAGAAATGAGTGAAACCCGGTCCCTTCCCTCAAGAAGCTGACAGGCTTTCAAGGGGGGAAAATAAAGCCTCTGTGATCCTCTTTTTCAGACCCCAAATGGGATGCAGGACGTGGATCTATCTGAACCTTCAAATGTCATGGGAAAACCCAAGACGTAGGACATCGACAACACAATGCGGTGGGCCTTGGGGCACTACTGTGTAATAAGGTGTTCTGAAAACACAAGTGAGAGAGCAACTGCTTCCAGCAGAGAAAGGAGAAGTGTGATAGCTCTGTATTTTATCATCGTTTCCTTACTCAGAGAACAGGGAAGAGATCTTGCTGGGAATCTAAAAGGCCAGGTCTTCATAATTAAAGCAGTCTCCTTATGTCAAAGATTAATGCTTTAGTTCTTTCTACATGTTAGAACATGCTTACCACCCAGAGAACAGCACCTTCCTCAGTCACTCAGTGACTGGTTATTTCTACAAATACACGTTAAGCTCTTCTGGGCCAGCTTTAGTAAGTAATCCTATCATATTAATGACTGAGTAGCTTAGTCTAGTCTCAATTAATGAGAAACCCTTATCTGCTGCTTCTGCTTAGAAATCCATGCATTTATTATTCACTCATTCAATAAATACATGCTTGGATCCTAGTGGAGTGGACGAGACAGGAGCACAGGGAATGGTACCACCCAGACGTCAGCCTCCCCTGCCAGCTCCAGCCCCTCCTCCATTCTATTTCATCTGCAGAAGGATCTACTCACACACAGATGTTGCGAACCAAGGAGCCATCACTGAGGATGTCACAGTGGAAACAAAAGAGTGATTTATGCTGTACCCTTCATAGCAAATAGCTTAAAATTTCCCATTAGACATTTCTGTTCTCCCCCCGCCAAAGCTTCTTTTCAGCAGGCCTACCATTAGTTTGTTTGTTTGTTTTCTTTTTCCTCTCTGATCTTTTTCCCATGCAGCATTTAGTCTGACTGACTCCTGTCTCCTTCCTGAAATTTCCCTGGGAACTTCAAATGTCTCATATTTTTGTTATTAAAGCAATTCAGCTCTGTCTCCAAATTAACATACTCAAACCCATTCAGGGGTTCAAGAAAACAAAGGCCTTCCAGGTGACCCCTAATAAGACTCGAGGATCTCCTGGTTCTTGTCTTAAGCCTCATCCCAAAAGGGATCAGGAATTCTTACAGCAGCTACTAAAAGAATACAAACTTTTGTCTCATCCAACTCTACAACTAGAAAATCATGAGCTCTGAGGGGTATACGTCAAGTACCACAGATCACATCTCACTTGGATGATCAGGGAAGTTCTCACAGAGAAGCATCTTAAGTGAGTCTTCTTAATGTTTTTCCTTTGGAGGGAAAGAGAATTTGGGAAACATGGCATACTATACCCCTTTCTTGGCAATTCATCATGGTTTTTGAACTATTAGAGATCTGAGAAGTGCTAATAGAAAGAGAAAAAAATTTGTTTAATTTTGTTTCACTCCATGTTTTCAACAGCTGACCTTAGAATCCTTTTCTCATATCCTTAAAGCTTGGGTGAAGTCGGTCAGGTAATACTTACCCACAGTTCATTAGGGACCCCAGGCCCACGGCCACGTTTTCCCAGCTATGCAGCCAACAAACAAACCATTCATGCTAGTGACGGAACCAGAGAAAGAGAAAGAGGCCAGAGCTGATGGCTCTGTGGCTGTGTGGGCAACCCACGTCAGGCTACACAAGCCCCAGGAGAGAAGATGAGAGGTCAAGTGTTCCTAACTATGAAACATTTTAGAAGGCGGAAGACTACAATGGGCCCACAGTGGCAGACAGATGGTTTGAGGAGGACAAATAAGGCTGACATGCTGTGCAGTGTTTTATTCTGTTCTCAAAACCTTTCCTCACACCCTATAGGCCCAAGCAAAGTGCATCCCAGACTGTCTTTACAGGACTGAGGGCCTGTGGATGTGATAATCTCAGTGAGTTAAGTGAAGATGTTCAGTCGGTTTGAGGACTAAGTATGTGATGCCCTACAGTTAGAATTTACCTCTCCTTCCCATACACTCCCTTTGCATCCATCTGACAGCACTTTCCTTCATCTGCCTCATATTCCAGTTCCTGGTTTTCATGCCACCAGACAGAAAACAGGAAACTTGCCATGTTGTACCCTCAGCAGCCAGTACATTTGTAGCATGTTACGGATACTCAGTAGTGGTTGAAAATTAAGTAGATTGGAGTTATACATGTGTCTCTCTCTACTACCAGCTGATGAATTCCTGAAGGAAAGAGCTTAAATCTTTTTCTTTTTGAATATCCACCATGTTTGTGGAAAATAAGAGAACTAAGAATTAGTTAATACCTCCTATATATCAGGTACTTCCCCTCACGATGCTTCTGTTTTACAGATGAGAAAACTGAGCCTTGAGGCAGGTATGTAACTTGACCCCAGGTCTCACAGCTTATGAGTAGACAGACCAAGACTAAGATCCAGATCTGGGGAGCCCTTGAGTTCCACACCGTGACAGTCACTGACCTCACAGACTCAAGAAACCGACCCCTGTGCTAGCAGCAGCAAAGCTAAGATGCAATGCTTTCCACCACAGAATCCTGAAAAGGCTAAGGAATCTGGGGCACAGGTCACTCTTGAAGGAGAATCAAGGTAAGGCTAAAATAGGAGGATGGGATGAACATATATGAAAGAAACAGCTGACTATAACCAGAAAGATAACAGATGTTGGCAAGGATGTGCAGAAATCAGAAGCCTCCTACGCTATGGTGACAATGCGAAATGGTGCGGTCACTTTGGAACACGGTCCGACTGTTCTTCAAAAGGTGAAGCAAAGAGACACCATAAGATGCGGCCATTCTGCTCTAGGCATACACCCAAGAGACACGACAATGTCTACACAAAACCTTGCACATAAACGTCCGTAGCGGTTATTAGTCGTAACAGAGAAAAGTGGAAACAACCTGAATGTCCACAAAACGATGAAGGGATAAATTAGCATAGAGACATACAATGGAGTATGACTGAGCTATAAAAAGGAAGGAAACACTGACACACACCACAATGTGGATGGCCTTGAGAACATCATGCAAAGTGGAAGAAGCCAGTCATGACAGACTGCGTAGTGTACAACTCCATTTCTATGAAATGAAATGTCTACACGAGACAAATTCATGGAGTTGGAAAGCAGCTCAAAGGCTACCCAGGGCTGGAGGTTTTAGGGTGAAAATGAGGAGCGAATGCTAACGGGTATGGGATTTCTTTTGGGGGTGACAGAAATATTCTAAAATTTACTGTAATGATGGTTTCAAAGCCTGTGAATATACCAAACTAAAACAAAGCAAAACAACCCCACTGACTTACACATTTTAAACAGTTTGTGTGGTATGCAGGGAAAAAAAAAAAAAAGGCAGCTGGACTTCCCAAGTCCCCCCTGCCAAGCTAGGTAACTGGCCCTCCCTGACTACAGCAGAAGGTCTAAGGTTTATTATTCAGAGAAGTTAAAAACAAAAGGTCTCTTGTCTAGAGGACACCAGGAACAGCTGAGATGAGGGGACTGTTGTGGAATTGGGGGAAAGGTGAAAGTTTACACACTGAATGTCCAGACACGCAGTCCTCCTCTCCCACTCAGTCAGCCAGTGTGTAGCCTTCAGGCCAAAGACGGGAAGGCTCTTCCTGGGAAATCTGACCAGTTAAGAGGAAAACAAATGAATGTTTCTGATTCTGGGAG